CAAATAAATGACAAAAAGCAAGAGAAATCAAGAGAAACACGGAAATTAACCAAGGTTCACAAAAATCAAGAGAAACACAAGAAAAAGAGACAATCAAATAGCAAACTAGGAGTCCTACTTGCCTTCCCCGGCAACGGCGCCATTTTGTTTAGTATAAATTTAGTGGGCAAGGGGTAACCGAGCTACCCGACTCGGGTCAATCTCGAAGGAAGGCTATTCGGAGCTTTGTCTACTAAATGATTGTCCAAATCACAAAAAAGGAAAATAAAGTCCTAAACATTCTAAGTAATTGATTGGGTGGTCGATTAACACTAATTGAGTACTTAAAAACGAGCAATTAATTAAAAGCAAGATCAAATGACGAGCAATTAGCAAACTAGATCACCGGAGTCTCATGCCATAACCATAACGGGATGATAATCAATCGACATACGGAATAAATGAGCTACGAGCATTAGATTGCTAACCCTAGTCGTCTAACCGAGATCAACAAGCAATTAACGGTTCTATCTACTCAAGCAAGCAATCAAGTTCAAGCATTTCCACCATCATCAATCAAATCCAATTTACTCTAATGAACATTATAAGTAAAACCAGAGCAAAAACGAAGTAGAGAGCTTTAAAACTAAATACTCAATCTCCCATTGCGTAGACGATGAAAAATGGAGTCAAAAGCTCGAAACTTGAACGAAACTGATAGAAAAGGAGCATGTCATGGCCAAAAATCATGGATTGTTTATAGTCGCAGGCCAAATCCAAGGAACCAATCAGATTTAAAATGAAGGGGCTGATTTTATGGATCTAAATAGCACTAATCATAGAAGAGAATCTTACCTAATATATAGTAGTATAGCTAATTATAAATAAAGCCTCCTTAGATGAGGAAGGCATCAGAAATCATAATTCCCATGTTAGTACCTTGGGACAGGGAGTTTATTCATGTTAGTCTTTTCTCTAGTTTTCTTTCTTCCTGTTGATCATATTGCAAAGTATCCATTTAGTTAATAATAAAACTCTTCCCTTTGTTACTTGGTTCTTTTCTCTAACAAATTGGTCCGACCTGCCGTGCGAGGTATGACACGAATGGAGTCCCGTGTTGAATCGTTGGAGAAGAGCCAAGTTGCTGTAAGCGAGGAACTCACCAACCTGCGGAACAACATGGACAACCGATTTAATACACTTGAAACGGCAATAGCCAAGATCACCGATCTATTGAATAATAACAGTAGCAACAACAACTTTTCAGAGAACATCTTTTCAGAGAGAAATACATCCAACCACCACAAATCTTCACTTCATGCCAATGTTTTCGACGAGTTAAAATCCACATCGAAGCACATTGATCTTCCGTGTTTTGATGGAACCGATCCTATTGGATGGATTGCGCGTGCTGAGCAATTTTTTCTTGTACACCACACGAAGGAAAACTTCAAAGTTGCCTCCGCATTCATCTGCATGGAAGGAGCAGCACTCCATTGGCTTCGATGGCTCCAGCAACAATCTCCAATGATTAGCTGGGATCAATTTAAGGAAGAACTCGTTGACCAATTCGGCGGGGACTTAGCAGCAAGTCCCAGCGAACGCTTGGCTGCCTTACACCAAACAGGATCTCTGGATGATTACGCCAATGAATTTCGAGCGAGAGCAGCCCAAGTCCCAGGCCTGGATTCACAACTTCAGCTAGGGTTTTTCTTAAATGGACTCAAGGAAGAAATAAGGGTCCGATTGCGCCCATATGATGTGCTCGATCTACGAACGGCCATGAAAGTTGCTCGGTCTGTTGAACGAGAATTGGATTTCTTAAATTCCAATTCTGGAAGATATACTACTGGGTATGGTTTAGGCTTCCAACCGAGGCCCATTAATCCTTCTCGTTTTGAACCACCAAAACTAAACAGCACCTTAACAACCGGCCAAAATAAGAATTCTGCAGCCCAATACAAGCCCAATGATCACTTCAAACTACTTCCAGGCGGCACAGGTTCCTCCTCTTCACAACTACCGCGACGCAACACAACACAGAAAAGTAGAGTGGCACGCCAATACTCCCATCAAGAATATTTGGACATGCGTGCGAAGGGGTTGTGTTTTCGCTGCAAACAACCTTACAGCCCGATGCATGATTGCCCTCAAAAATCATTATGCGCTCTCATCGCAGCAGAAGACGAGATCACTGATATCATCTCCGACTTCGGACTAGAAGAATCCCAACAACATCAAGCAGAAACCAGTGAAGCTCAGCTCCATTTTCTAGATCTACCTTTGACGGCGATAGGTGGAATAGATGGACCACGGACAATGAAATTTTCAGGTCATGTGTACGGTGAACCAGTGACTATTATGGTAGATAGTGGGGCAAGCCACAACTTCATCTCAACCAAACTTGCTCAGAAAATTCCCCAACCAGTAGAGCAGACAGTCCGCTTTGGGGTTCGCTTAGGAGATGGCAGTCGAGCAACTTCAACAGGGAAGTATAGCAATTTACCAATTCAACTTCAATCAATCACGATGTCATTAGATTGCTATATATTTCCTCTTGGAGGTATTGACATCATTCTCGGCGTGGCATGGCTCCAAACATTAGGCGATATCAAAGCGAACTGGACAAAAATGAGTATTGAATTTTTGCGGGATAATGAAGAGATTTGTCTATTAGGGGACCCATCATTGTCACGTGCCCCTATCTCTTTGAGCTCATTTCAACATATGGACGATGACATCGATTACTGCCTCTTGCTCTGGCAGATTACATCATCAACAGAAACGCGTTTCTCAAAAGAGACTTCGGCCCTCAATTCCTCAAGCGCTCAGGTCTAGGAATTGGAACTAATATTGGAGCAATACGGTACAATTTTTGAAGAACCCCAAGGACTTCCCCCTGAAAGGAGACATGATCATCGCATCACCCTAAAATCGGGAACCGCACCAGTAAATGTGAAGCCCTACCGATATAGCCATCATCAAAAGGATGAAATTGAACGCCTGGTGAATAAAATGCTCTTCGCTGGGATAATCCAACCAAGCTCCAGCCCGTTTTCCAGCCCAGTTCTACTTGTCAAAAAGAAAGACGGAAGTTGGCGATTTTGCGTCGACTATCGCGAACTAAACAAGGCTACTGTTCCTGATAAATACCCAATTCCCATGATTAATGATATGCTTGATGAACTCCATGGAGCCGCTTTTTTCTCTAAGTTGGACCTCAAAGCAGGGTATCACCAAATTCGGGTCCATCCCTCAGACATAGCCAAGACAACATTTCAAACACATTCCGGCCACTATGAATTCTTGGTCATGCCATTTGGATTGACAAATGCCCTAGCCACGTTTCAAGGCCTCATGAATGATGTCTTCCATCCGTATTTGAGGAAATTTGTGCTTGTTTTCTTTGATGATATCCTTGTTTACAGTAAAACATGGGAGGCGCATATACAACACCTTCAGATTGTCTTCAGTGTTTTACTCGATAATCAACTCAAGGCTAATAAAAAGAAGTGCCATTTTGGAAGGACATCAGTGGGACATGTTGTCTCAAGATCTGGCGTGTCCATGGATCCAAGTAAAATATCCAGTGTTATTAGGTGGCCACAACCTAAGTCAGTTAAAGGCGTACGAGGATTTCTAGGCCTCACGGGATATTATAGGCGGTTTATTAAAAATTACGGCCAAATCGCAAGACCTCTCACATAATTACTTAAAAAAGAGGTCGGGGACTTCACATGGACAGAGCCAGCACAGGACGCTTTCGAAAGATTGAAAATCGCCATCACCTCTTCTCCAGTGCTGGTAATGCCTGACTTCAATAAAAGTTTTGTGATCGAATGTGATGCTTCAGGCGAAGGCGTGGGCGCAGTCTTGATGCAAGAGCAGCGGCCGATAGCATATTATAGTAAAGCACTCTCGGGAAGAGTGTTGGCCAAATCGGCATACGAAAAAGAGTTAATGGCATTGGTTTTGGCAATTCAGCATTGGCGGCCTTATTTACTCGGTAGAAGATTTGAAATTCGCACCGACCATCGGAGCCTAAAGTACATTTTGCAGCAACGGATCACGACTCCTTCTCAGCAAAATTGGTTGGCAAAACTCATGGGTTACGATTTTGAGATCACCTACAAACCAGGTGTAACAAATCAAGTAGCAGATGGTTTATCCAGACTATTTGAGGACAAGGATTTGGCAGCCATTTCTGTTCCCACATGGATTGACTGGGAAAAACTTGATTCAGCCGTCCTCGAGGATGTGGAGTTACGGGCAATCATCGAGCAACTTCGACTGAATCCAAATAGCCAGCCACCATATCAGCTCGTTCATGGAAGATTATTTTACAAAGGTCGAATTGTCATTCCTGCTACTTCACCATGGGTGCAACAACTCTTGGACGAGTTTCATTCCACCCCAACAGGAGGCCACTCAGGTGCGTACCGTACATATCGCCGATTGGCAGCTAGCGTTTATTGGCGAGGCATGATGAAACAGGTACAAAAATATGTTGCTGACTGCCTAATTTGCCAAAGGAATAAGTATGAAACGTTATCACCAGCTGGATTGCTCAATCCGCTCCCTATTCCTAATAACATCTGGGAAGATATATCGATGGACGTCATCACAGGTTTACCGCGATCTAATGGGTTTGATTGCATCTGGGTAGTAGTCGATCGACTTAGCAAATATGCACATTTCATTGGTCTTCGACATCCTTTCACTGCACGAACCTTAGCCGAATTGTTTGCTAAAGAAATTGTGCGTCTACACGGAGTCCCACGATCCATCGTCAGTGATCGAGACCCAATTTTCTTGAGCAATTTCTGGACTGAATTTTTCACTAAAATGAAAACCAAACTTCGCATGAGCACAGCCTACCACCCGCAAACTGACGGACAGTCGGAAGTAACAAATCGTTGCGTGGAGCAATACCTGAGATGTTTCGCTTCAGAACAACCCAAGCAATGGGGTCGTTGGTTGCATTGGGCTGAATATTGGTTTAATAGCAGTTTTCATTCGGCGGCAGGCCGAACTCCATTTGAATATGTGTATGGCAGGCCACCATCCACTTTGCATCAGTTTATGCCGGGGGAATTCAAGGTTGCAGCCGTTGCGGAGGAGCATAATGATAGGGCAGAATTGATCAAGCAGCTGCACTTTAACCTCACTAAAGCGCAACAACGGATGATTAACACTGCCAATCGCAAGAGACGACCCTTAGAATTTGATGAGGGAGATCAAGTTCTTTTGAAACTTCGGCCCCAGCCAGACCTCTATGGCAAATCGAGTCAATCAGAAGCTGGCTGCAAGGTATTATGGCCCATATCGCATTCTTCGAAAGTTGAGCCCCGTGGTTTACAAGTTAGAATTACCTGATGGAGCACGTATACACCCAGTTTTCCACATCTCCCAACTTAAGAAACTTAACGGGCAGCATGACGTCACCAAGGATTTACCTGAAGCCTTGGCAGTAGAAGAAACAAGTTACACCCCACAAGACATATTGGATGCTCAAAAGCAGCTCGGCAGGGAGCAGGTCTTAGTTCAGTGGGAAGGTCAGCCGGCGGAGGAAGCAACTTGGGGTGATCTTTCGGATTTTATGGGGCAGTTTCCAAACTGCAGCCTTGTGGACAAGGCCAATTCTTCAGGAGGTGGCAATGATAGAAAAGGAGCATGTCATGGCCAAAAATCATGGATTGTTTATAG